TACACTGCTGGTGGGAATGTAAAATGGTACAACCACTTTGGAAATCCATTTGGCACTGCCTTAAAAAGCTAGAAATATAAGTACCATATGATGCATCTATCCTGCTCCTTAGAATATATCCTAGAGAAATAAGAGCCGTTACACGAATAGATATCTACACACCCATGTTCATTGCAGCACTGTTCACAATAGCAAAAAGATGGAAACAACCTAGGTGCCCAGCAACGGACAAATGGATAAACAAATAATGGTATATCCACACATTGGAATACCAGGCAACAATAAAGAACAACGATGAAGCCGTGAAACATCGTATAACGTGGTGGAAGCTGGAACTTATGCTGAGTGAATTTAGTCAGTCACAGAAGGACAAATACTATATAAGACCACTATTGTAAGAACTCAAGAAAAGGTTTAAACACAGAAGAAAACATTCTTTGATGGTTACGGGGTGGGGAGGGAGGGTGAGGGTTATTTACTAACTAGATAATAGATAAGAATCATCTTAGGTGAAGGGAAGGACAGCACACACTACAGGGGAAGTCAGCACATCTGGACTAAACCAAAGCTAAGAAGTTTTCTGAATACAATCAAATACTCTGAGAGACAGAGTAGCAGGGGTAGGGGTCTGGGGACCATGCTTTCAGGGGACATCTAGGTCAACTGGCATAATAAAGCTTATTATGAAAATGTTCTGCATCCTACTTTGGTGAGTGGTGTTTGGGGTCTTAAAAGCTAGCAAGTGGCCATCTAACATGTATCAATTGGTCCCAACCACCTGGAGTAAAAGAGAACGAAGAACACCAAAGACACAAGGAAAGTATTAGCCCGAGAGACAGAAAGGGCCACATAAACCAGAGACTTCATCAGCCTGAGACCAGAAGAACTAGATGGTGCCTAGCTGCCACCAATGACTGCCCCGACAGGGAACAAAACAGAGTCCCGGATGGAGCAGGAGAAAGGTGGGGTGCAGAACTCAAATTCTGGTAAGAAGACCAGACTTAATGGTCTGACTGAGACTGGAGGTACCCCGGAAAGCATGGCTCCTGTATTCTCTATCAGCCCAGAACTAAAACAATTTCCGAGGCCAACTCTTCAGACAGGGATTGGACTGGACTGTGGGACATAAAGTGATACTCGTGAAGAGTGTGCCTCTTAGTCAAGTAGATACAAGAAACCAAAGGGGCAGCTTCTGTCCAGAGGTGAGATGGGAAGGCAGAGAGGGTTAGGAGCTGGTTGGATGGACATGGGGAATCAGGGGCGGAAAGGAGGAGTGTGCTGTCGCAGAATGGGTGAGCAATTAGGATCACATAACCATGTATGTATAAAATTTTGTATGGGAGACTAACTTGAAATGTAAACTTCATTTAAACTACAACAATAAAAAAGAAAAAATACTAAGCCAGAAATGTCTCAGGGAAGGGGTGGATAAATAAAGCTTTTATTTGCACAGACCACAGGATAGGTGCTGTAAAAAGAGGAAAGGGGTGCTAAAAAATTCCTTGGGATGGGGGAGGAGTCTTGAAATTTAACCAACTGTCAAATATTGGAATAAAAGGCATGAAATGTTTGTGGTTGGCTTAGAGGGTGGAGCCGTCTGGGCCTGAGATAAAGCAAACAAGTTACAGTGCAGAAAGCTCACATAAAGTTTAGGGGCCTGGTTGTCCTAGTCAAACCAGGCTAAAGACATGTCAAACACAAGGTTTGCTACTTGTGTTATGTGTTACTACTGATAAAACAAATAGCTGATATTATCCATGTTCTGTCTCTTTCAAGAAAAGCATTTAAATTAAAAAAAAAAAAAAACCTCATTTGGTGATATCAGTGGCTTAATGATAGTAATACAAAGTGACAGGTTTACATTAGGTAAAACCTTAGGTACCTTTATTGCTAAGTTTCACAAGTCCATGGAATCTGGCTCAGAGGCGTTATTAGTAATTCATTCATCCAATATACAGTTATTAACACCTACTTTGAGCAAGAAACTGTTCTGGAAGCCAGTATTTTATTTGATATTGTACATTAATACAAACAAGTTATATAAAAATGCTTTGATAAACAACTAAATTAAGTGAACAGTATTTAAAAAATCACTTTGGCAAATGAAATTTAATATACCAGCTGAAACAACACTGATTTCAATTTTAATTTATATGACCTGTGTTTGAGCAATTAACTTACAATTGAGCAACTGAAGAGATGAACAATAATTTTATATGTTTATTGCCTGAATAAGCAACATACTTTTGTCTTTTTGACAATTAGAGGAAAAACTTTTCCCTGGGCAAAAACACACACAGAAATAAAAGGGTAAAAGTCTTGCCCACACGCAGCTTCAATATAAAAAAATTTGTTTTCATTAAAAATGATATGAAGTGCTGAGCAAATACTCAAGAAATCTTCTAAATTTGGGCAGAAATTCCAGCCCAACTTTGGAATCGAGGTACACAGGTAATACCAGACTACAACTTGGCCAGTTAGGCCAAACCAAAAAAACCAGTAACCAGTCGTCAAGTAGATTCTGAACCATGGGGATCCCATGTGTTGCAAAGTATAACTGCACTCCATACAGTTTTCATGGCTGTGATTTTTCAGAAGCAGGTTGCTAGGCCTTTCTTCACACTGGGTGGGTTCAATCACCAAACTCTCCTTGGAGTGCTTAACTGTGCCACCAACTCACATAAGATACCATGCCTCAGTCCCACAGTCACTAGGGCACCCGCTGTTTCTGCCTCGGTGGAAGCTTCCCGAAAAAAAGCCACACAGGAGTGGGATCTGTAGTTAAGGAAGAGAATTACAGAGGGCAATTTTTTTTTCTTTTCTGTATTTTGCGAATCAACCACGGGTGTTATGGGGGTCTATGTGTAAAACTGCAGCTATTGAGACAGAAACAAAAACAGACGGAATGAACGGAAGTTAAAATGACTTTCACTAGGAGTGAAAAATAAACCTACAATGATCTTAATCTCATCAGTAAGGAGCTGTATCCAAGCAAGATAAGCTGTCCCAGATGAGGAACCCATCAACAAACTTAAATAACCAACTGAAGAGGACAGGGGAAACCAGGGACGGCATTTTACAGAAAAAACTGAGAAACTAAGTTAAGGGCGGGATACGCCGCAGTACATACTTCTTTGTACAGTGCCGTGCTTTACAACTAAGTAACATTATAATGTGGGACTAACTGGAAGCATGGGCCACTTCAGTCACACTTAACTAATCCTTGTCGCCCTAACCAGTCAAATGATAATTATTAGGAGGAAAAAAAAAAAATCAAGGATTATTTCAAACGTAATGAGTCGGCTTCTACTTCGCGGATGCCAAGGCGTCAACATCCTTGCGGTTCCACTTGGCCAGCCTGGGCGGAACGAGGGTCACACGTGGAGTGAGGGTGCGGGGCTGCCCGCTAGTCCCCGGGAAGTGTTTTCCCTCCTCAGCAGAGACTCGGGGTGCCCGGCGGGGCGAGGACATAGCTGCTGTCGCTGAAGCCCCGAGCATTCAATCTACAGAGGACGCCCCAGGGCTCGTGGACAACTGGCCCCGGCCCGTGGTCCAGCCCTACCTGGGTCTCCGCTGCCCGCTCCAGCCCCTCCCCTGTCCGCCCAGGCCCGCCCCACCTCCAGCTGCAAGTAACCACTTACCGCCTCCGGGCTCCTCAGCGAACGGCTCCCTGACTACCAACGACTTTCCGCGCAACCATCGTGCGACGCCGGCGGAAAGAGCGGCTACGTCTGGCTTCCGGAGGAAATGAAACGGCACAGGAAGTCGCAGGGCGGGGCAAAGGAGGCGTGGTTTCCTAAATCATGGTGGGTTTCTTGGTAGTACCTGTCCGACTTATGTGGCTTCCGGGTGGGCCCCCGTGGCGTCTCTTGCCCCGCGGACTCGGGCTTTGGGGCTCAGCTGAGGGGACCTTGAGAACCGTACTGAGGCCATTCTGCGCGCGGCGAGAGGAGGCGTGGCGGGCCTCAGGGCTCGCAGGCTGCTGCCTCAGAAGCCGACCTCTGAGCACCGCGATGCCGCCGCCGCCGCCTCCAGGGTCGAAGGGCCGCAGAGACTCAACGCGCCCCTCGCAGCCTGGGGTAAGTGCAGACCTGGAGCCCTTCCATTGCTCGGCGCCGCCATCCTGTCTTTCTTGGTCATAACCTCTGAAACCACTCGGCTTGGCCTAAAATTGTCAACTCAGCAGTCTTACAATATCTCATCCCCGATTTCTCTGGATCACCCGTAGCCGCAGCCCTAGTGGGAACTTGAGAACCCACACCCTTTCTGTGTCGTTAGATAATTCGGGCTTGGATATCCGTCAGCCCTTGAGTCAAAATAGTAAGTTTCAGGTTTCTCAGGGGGTCTCAGCCGTAGATTTACCAGGACAGAGGAGCCAGAGCCCTATAATTTCTGTCACTTGCATTCCCCCTTCATAGGGTCAGTGAATACGTTGACGTTGAAGCAAAATAGCTTTCGTTGCTTACTGGTGTCTTTTTCTTGGTAAAGGGTCCTTACTTTTTATCGGGTTCCGGTTACGACCCAAAAAGAATTAAAGAGCCACTACCCTGTGGTGGTAGGTAAGAGAAGTGGGTTTTCGGACCTCGGTGGAAGTTAATGAGTTATACGTAGGTAGCCAAGATCTTATTTGGGGATTGGAAAAAGAGTACATAGAAATAACGTGAGGGTAGCTCCACTTTTAGATGTCTTCCCCTTTGACTTTGTTACTTCTGAAAGCCCAGTTGCTTTCAAGCTCATTCCGACTCATGGCAACCCCTGTGTGTCTGTCAGAGAAGAACTGTGCTTCGTAGAGTTTTCAATGGCTGAATTTTCGGAAATAGATCGCCAGACCTTCCTTCCTGAGGCGCCTCTGGGTGGAGTCAAACCTCCAACTTTTCAGTTAATGGTGACGCGCTTAACCATTTGCACCCAGGGACTTCTTCTTGAATTTTATTTGATTTACCTATGTTCTCAATGTCAGGACAGGCATATAATTAACCGGCTTTTAAATCAACGCTTGGGGCCATAAATATCTTGCTACTTGAGCTTCTTTGGATTGTTTTTCACATGAAAAGAAATTGATTTAGGGAATGTTCCTCTGTAATTGAATGCCTTTGTTATTGTCTGTTACGAGCCCAAATGTAATTGAATTCAGACACATTCAGCATTTTCTCATCCAAAAGTAACTTGGAACATTTTGCACAGTTAACAAGATCAGGGCTTGTGTATGTATGTACATTAAGAACTAATAAACTTAGTATGGTTAAGTTTTGCGTATTACCAGTATTTTTATTTTTGAAATCTCTGCCCCAGTAGCCTGTTTCCTGGAAGTCGTTAGCATTCACATTTGCTGTTGGAGGAGCTTTATTGGCTGGGATGAAGTACTTCAAGAAAGAAAAGACAGAAAGTAAGTAGATAACATCTGATCATTTATAAATAAAATTCTTCCTGGCTATGGACTAATATCTTTTTTTTTAATTGTTTATTTTGAAATAATATTAGGTTCACAGAAGAGTTGCAAAGATGGTACAGAGAGTTCATGTATACCCTTCACTAGTTTACCTAATGTTAACATATAATCCTGGTACATTTAGCAAAACTAAGAAATTAAAATTGGTCTATCTTACTATTAAGTAAACTACAGACTTTTTTTCAGATTTCACCTGTCTTTCCGTTAGTGTCCTCTGTTTCAGGATCCATTCCAGGTTACCACTGTCTTAACAATTTTAAAAGACTTTAGTGTGTACAGATTTGAATGTAGGCAGCACGAAGGCCTGAGGGTACGAAGATGACTAAGGTGTGGTCCAGCCCTTGAGGTGGACATGATGGGGAAAAAGACACAGAAGTGCAGGATTACACCAGATAAGATTCTGCCAGCACAGAGAGAAGCTCAGGGTGCTCTGAGGGCCAAAGGAAGGCAGACAGGCACCCTTGGGATTTGGGATGGCTTCCTGGGAGAATCAGGCATGGGAACAGTGAGTAGATGCTGCAAACCACTGGGTGTCAGCAGAGGAAAAGGCCAAAGGCCGACCACAGATGAGGGGGGAGACAGGAAGAGCCTAGTCGAGGAATGCCGCCGGAAACTGCTCTGTATTGACGTCTTGAAGTGTTTAGAAATCGTTTACAAGAACTTCAGATTTTAGTGAGTATTCTAGAACTTCTAAGATTTGGCTTAGAAGTTTCCAGTAAATCTTTAAGCATCTCAAAGTATCTTTAGAGTATCTTTTGATACAAAGGCATTAATGTTTCCATCTGGGAGTGAAAATTCATAGACTTTAGAACCTTAGCAATGTCAGAGTCATACATTAATACGTATACATTTTTTGTATAACAAGCAGTATCTTAGAAATACAATTTTCACATTCTGAGAAGCAGTAAGTTCCTTTAGTTTCACAAAGAAACAAAACTGAGAAGTTAGGAAGGTAAGAAAGAATTCCAGAATATGCAAGCATCTTTTGAATTTAGAATTTCACCTGCAGTAGTAACTTTTGTTTTATTAAAAAATTTATGTACAAAAAGTCATATATAATTCCATTTATGTGAAATAGACAAAATAGATAAATGCATTGTGACAGCACAGACTGGTGGTTGCTGGGGATGGGGGGATGGGGGAACCTCTAATGTGCAAGAGGTTTACTTTGGAGTGATGGCAATGTTTTGAACATAGATAGAGGTTGTGGTTGTATAACACTGTGACTATACTAAATGCCACTGAATTGTTCACTTTAAAATGGTTAATTTTATGCTATGTGAATTTCACCTCAATAAATTTCTTTAAAAGAAAGTAAAGCTGAAATTTTAAAAACAAATTATTGTGAATAGTGAAGAATGATATTTAGAACCCAAGATCTGGGCTCTTTGCTGTTGGGGTGTCTCTGCTCCCAAGTCTTCACAGTGAACAGAGCTAGGAAATTATATGTATGTATTTATATCTATAGGACCCCTTGTGATGCAGTGGTTAAAGCACTCACCTGCTAACCAGAAGGTCGGTGGTTCAAACCCATTAGCCACTCCACACAAGAAAGATGTGGCAGTCTGCTTCTGTAAAGATTTACAGCCTTGGAAACCCTATGGGGCAGTTCTGCTCTTTCCTATAGGGTCACTATGAGTCAGAATCAACTTGACAGCACTGGGTTTGGTTTGGTTTTTTTTTTTTTTTTTTTTTTAAATTTACGTCTGTATGTATTTCAATGTCTGTATATATTGAAACTTGTAAGAACTTGTTAAGTTCACCCTAGTACCTCTAATTCCATTCTAATACTACAGGGTTCATTCCACTGTTCTCTCTCTGCATAGTTCTAACTCCATTCCGTTTGTAACTGTCTTAATCTTAATGTAGTTACTTACTTGATCAGTGCCCCCTGTATGTAACAGCGGTCTCGTCATCGCACCCCCTCCCATGCAGATGCCCTCCTCATTCCACTCAGGCTCAGACTCCCTGTGCCAAGCTGCCCACCTCACCCCACTCAGACTCAGCATTCTGCTCTGGGCTACTGTGCCCCTCCCCACCCCCAGTATCGCCATACCTAAAGGCTTAAGACTGAGTTCTTCCCAAGGAAAACCACTTTTCTTTTCTTGTAGTCCTTACTAAGTACCATAGCATGTAATTTGACTTTGCTTTATTGTTTTATGCTTATTTTTCTTAAAAGATCTTTTAAACTTCTTGAAAACTGAGACTATTTCTTCTACATTTTATGCTCCCATAATCATTAGTGTATTACTAATCATGTATTAGGCATTTGAGTACCTGTGTTTATTTTAACCTCTCTCTGTGTCTGTGTGTGTGTGTTTGTGTGTGTGTGTGTGTGTCTTTTTAAGAGCTGGAGAAGGAGCGGCAGCGATCCATAGGAAAACCTTTACTTGGGGGACCATTTTCTCTCACAACTCATACTGGAGAGCCTAAAACTGACAAGGACTACCTGGGCCAGTGGGTACTGATTTATTTTGGCTTCACTCATTGCCCTGATATCTGTCCAGAAGAACTAGAAAAAATGATTCAAGTTGTGGATGAAATAGGTAAGAAAACCATCACTATAAAAAGTATGTTTCCTTACTATCCTTAATGATGCTATGTTTTTCATGTTCCTATATTTTTGTTATGTGGGGCATTACAGTTACTTGGTGTGTGGGAACAAGATCTCAGCATTAGGCTACTTTGTTGTTTTGATTTCTGTGACCTTATTCTTCACCAAAGGAAGCTTGTTTTAGTGGTGATGTCAGTGTGGTTTAGGTCTCCCTTAACTTTAATCTTGTGTTTTCTTCCTTTATTGTAGACCTTCCGTCACTAACATTGCCATTGCCTTTTCCCGGGCGACTGTCTGATGTCCCAGGAATTCCATACTTTTGGGATAGGTAGTCAGTGGTATTTATTAGTACCAATCATGTCCCAGAAGATGCTGTACTAGAAGGGCGAGTGCTGCCTTCTTGAAATGAATTGTTCCAGGATATTCAGTTCTTATTACTAGTTTACTTTCCCCTTGAAATTAGGCGGTGGTGGGAGGGTTGGATGGAGTACTGCAAGCACTGAATTAGGATTAGATTAAGGGACAAGATATCCACATGATGTCATCAGGGTCATAAAGTCTATGCACTGGTGTAGGTATTTGATAGGATATTTATCTGCTTCCACCACAGATGATACATGGATCTGTTCCTCCTGGAGGCCATCCACGTCCTCCCCCCACCTAACTGTTAGATGTCCCTCTGTGTTTCCTTAACACCTTGTTGTAACATTTATGTCTCCTCCCTTAGAATGTGAGTACTGGCTAATGAGAACTTTTCTTTCAGATAGCATTCCAACGCTGCCAGATCTAACTCCACTTTTCATCACTATTGACCCAGAAAGGGACACCAAAGAAGCCATTGCAGATTATGTGAAAGGTATGTTTTATTAATAATTTTTTACATCTATTTAGCTCTTATAGTTTTTGAAAGACCAATTCAATTGTCCCCTGTAAAGCCTGGTGAAGTAGGTGGGACAAATGGTATTTTTCCCACCTAATTTTACAAGTGAATAAACAGATGAGGCTCAGAGTTGTGACTGTGGCTAGTTAGTAAATAAATAAGAAACGGTTTCTAAAAAATAAAAAAAAATTTTTTTGATTAAAAAAAGAAACAGGTTTCTCAATTCCTAATGCAATGCTCTTTTTTCTTCGTCACAGAGGAGGGATTTGAATTTGGCCTCCATATATCAACAAAGTTAATAGAGCCTTGAATTGGGAATAAGGACACTTTGCTTCTAATTCTAGCTCTGTATCTCTTTCCTTTCTAAAATTAGGGCCAACCCGCATTCTGGGAGTATATGCATTGGGAGATTAAAGATGAATTATTAAACATAAACACATATTCATCTCATAGTACTTGTGTTTTATAAATGCACAATACTTATTATGACAGGAAGACATTTGTTACTTTCAATGGAAGAATTTCAATTTAAACATCTTAACTTACAGGTTAAAACCTATTAGAGAGCACTTTAAAAGGCTGTAAATTAAAGGAGAATTGAGAGTGAATATCTAGGTTCTAATTCAGCTGTGCACTTGGGCAAGTTCAGTGTTTATAAATTCAGGTTTTTTCAACTGAAATGTGAATGATCAGAATAAAAATCTGATCAGTTTTTTTGTTGTTGTTATAAGTGTCTGGAACGTAGGTGCTTAAAATCAGAAACTTGAAAACTTGGATTTTAATTGTGGTGAAATTGACTTAAGTACAGGTTAGAAGGACTAATGCATATGTTTTTATTTATGCGTGTTATATGACACGTTCTAATGTATATCCTCTAAGACTTTGAGAGTTCATTAAATTTTTTTGTGTGAAGAACTTGCTGTATATTTTATTATTTTTAACAGCTTTATTGAGGTGTGATTGGCATACAATAAAGTACACGTATTTAAGGGTCCCTGGGTGGCACAAATGGTTAAGCACTCAACTACTAGCTGAAAGATTGGTGGTTCCAACCCACTCAGAGCCACCTTGGAAGACAGGCCTGGCCATCTGCTTCTGAAAGGTCACAGTCTTGAAAGTCCTCTGGAGCAGTTCTGTACTGCACACGTCGGGTGGCCAGAAGTCAAAACCTACTTGATGGCAACTAACAGCAACAAACACGTACTTAAAGCGTGCAGCATGATAACTTTTGATATACATATATACCTGGAGAAACTGTCACCATAGTCAAGAATGAACGTATCCATCACCCCCAAAAGTTTCCTCCTGCCCCTTGTTGATACCTCCTTCCCCGCACCTTTGTCTCCTGGCAATCACTGATTTGCTTTTTGTCGATAGAAGTTAATTTGCATTTTCTAGAAGTTTATATAAATGGAGCTATACAGTATTTTTTTAATGGCTTTTTTTATTCAACATAATTATTTTGAGATTAATTCATGTTGTTGCATGTATGGATAGTTCATTCTTTTTTATTGCTGAATAGTATTCCATTGATGGATGTTTGAGTTATTTCGTCTTTGGCTACTACAGATATGCTAAGTCATTCATGTACAAGTCTTCGTGTGGGCACACTTTCATTTCTTTTGAGTAAATATCTAGGTGTATAATGACTGTGGGCCCTGGTGGCCCAGTGGTTAAGAATTTGGCTGCTAACCAAAAGGTTGGCAGTTCAAATCCACCGGCCACTCCTTGGAAGCCTTATGGGCAGTTCTACTCTGTCCTGTAGGGTCTCTATGAGTCAGAATCGACGCAACAGCAGCGAGTTTGGTTTTTGGTAATGACTGTCTCATATGGTAGGTATATGTTTAACTTTTTAAGAAACTGACAGACTATTTTCCAAAGTGGTTGTACATTTTTACTTTCCCACCAGCAGTGTATGAAAGTTCCAGTTCCTCCACAGCCCCACCAACACTTGGCATGGGCAATCTTTTTATTTTTAGCCACTCTAATAGGTGGGCAGTGGTATCTCATTGTGGTTTTAACTAGCATTTCCCTAATGACTGTTAATATTAAGTATCTTTTCATGTTCTTATTTGACATCTGTATGTCTTTTTTTATGAAGTGTCCACATCTTTTGTCCATTTTTTATGGAGTTGTTTGCTTTCTTTTTATCGAATTTTGAGAGTTCTTTATATATTCTGGATACAAGTCCTTTATCAGGTATATGATTTGCAGATATTTTCTCCCAGGCTGTGTCTTGTATTTTTAGTCTTTTAACAGTGTCTTTTGAAGAGCAGTTTTTAATTTTTATGAAGTCTGATTTATCAGTTTGTTCTTTTATAGATAGTGTTTTAGTTTCCTATCTAGGAAATCTTTGCCTAACCCAAGGTCCCAAAGGCTTATGTTTTCTTCTTGCAGTCTTAGAGTTTTTTTACGTATATTTAAGCAGAATTTATGTCCCTAATTTACAGGTTTGTCAGATACTTGGACAAAAAAAAAAACAAAACGTTGCCATCGAGTCGATTCTGTCTCATAGCAGCCCTATAGGACAGAGTAGAACTGCCCCGTAGGGTTTCCAAGAAGCAGCTGATGGATTTGAACTGCCGTTCTTTTGGTTAGCAGCAGAGCTCTTAACTACTGCACCACCAGGGCTTCACTTGGACAATAACATAGTTATTTCCTAGTGCAGTAAAAAGCAGGTTTGTATGAACTCACTGGGTGATAAACAATCTCCAGTGTGTACATATATATTGCCAATTATTTTTATCCCGTAGTAAGCAAACCAGAAATATCTCCAAATGAGTAGAAATCTGAGTTGCTTTACTTAACTGAAATACTAAAATTTTTATACCTTATGGTAATTTTTTCAACAACACATAATACATGACATTAACAACATAACCATTAGTAGTTACATTTGGGGGAAGGGGTTGAAAATGTCTAAGTTGGTATTTCGAATAATATTGCAGTTTCAGAAATTTCATAACAAATATTTGGATTGCAGCTAACTCAGGTTTCATCTTTCTCTTTCTTTTTACTCATAGAATGGAAAAGAAAAAAAAGCCATCCTGCTTTTTTAGTACCTGAATAATTTCTTGATTTAAAGTGAATTAGTCCAAGGAACTTTCTATATGCTTTCTAAACCTTTGGAAGAAGATACTGCTGTTAAACACTGGACTGTCATTTTAGGAGTCTGATGAGTCCAGGTGTTTTTAGTGATTTCCATCAACTCACTTACATAAATTCTAAAAAAACAGGAAATATGCACCCTTACCCCTGAATTTATTTTAATTGCTGTTTTGGAATCATGAGTATTAGTTATCCAGGTTTTTACTAGAAGTTAAGAATAGAACCTGATACCTGTATTGCAGTTACTTGCTAGAAAATGAGATATAGATATTTTGATCTAGTATGAGCTAATTGTGAAGCAAACTTTTTTGTCATATGATACAATGAAAAACTGTAGTACTTAACTCATGGTAGTGTTTTTGAACTTCATCGTATCTCAGGTAGACAATATGTAAGTATTTAAAAACAATTGAATTAATAAAATCTGTGATTTAAATAATTGGAATGTGTTTTCTCCAGATCTTTAGTAGGTAATGCTAAAAGGATTTGGCTTATATATTAAAAGAATTTTCCTTTGTTCTTTGTGGATTTGTTATTCTTTCCTTTGAATCCTGAGAAAACACTTGGGTACTCCCAGGAAGAAAGTGGCCAAAGGGCTGCTCTATAACTGATACTGTTTTAGGAAATAGAGATGATTGTCTGGCTTGATTCTCATTTTTTATTGTCTGTCTCATTTTTTACTTAGAATTTTCTCCCAAACTGGTTGGCTTGACTGGCACAAAAGAAGAGATTGATGAAGTGGCCAGAGCTTACAGAGTGTATTACAGTCCTGGCCCCAAGGATGAAGATGAGGATTACATAGTAAGTTGGTGCTCAGGTTTTTAGCTCATGGGTCAGTTCCCAGATTCCAGATATTCATGCAGTCTTTAAATGACTGACTGGCTTCAGAGATAAAAGAAAATCTGAGATTATTGCGAATTCCTTGGGAATTTGTAATATTTAAAAGGGTAATGGAAGCACATTTCTTCCCCCCCGCCAAGGATACTCGTTTAACTTATTATATTCACTGTTATCATAAATTAATTGCCTGTATTTTTTTCTTTTTAAGTGGCAAGTGAAATTATGGGGCAATATAAAACCAGTGGTGTCCTAGACTCAATAAAATATGTTTGGACACCAAGTTGGGAATAAAGGAAAGCTATCATTTTGGGGCAAAGCTTATTTTAGTTTAAAAACACTGTATTGGTTCTCCCTGTGTTTCCCCATGAAGAGGTATAAAAAACATTGTTCCTTTTGAGAAGCTGATTTAGGCCATGGGAACTGCATTTTCAGGTTAAGTGAGAATTCTGACACACAAGGAGATGAAAGCTATAGAAAGGTGGGCTTTCTGTAAGATTATTTCTGTAACAATATAGGTATTTAATATATGCTTGTTAATGATGAAGAACAGGAATTGTATTAGGTTGTACTAATGTAGCTCTTAAATGAAAGAGCTTTCATTGCATTCATCAGCTCTGCCCCAGGAGTCCTAGGCCAATGCCTGTTATTTATGTTCCTTTTCTTGGCAGTGGTTTTTGACAGTGAGGCACCAGTGAAGAGCATCCACCCCACCCACGACACAGTTTTCTTCTTAATATGGACTTTTTTTCCAATCACACTGAGTTGACATTATATTTTTGTGGGTTTTTTGGTTTGGTTTTGTTTTTTTTTTCAGTTGTGTCAGTTACTTTGGTTTCTCCATAATATTGGTTAAACTAAGTGATTAATCACTAAGAGCCTTTCCTTCTGCAAAGCTGGTTTTTGTAGAACGAAAGGCTGCCAGGACACTGACTCCTTGATCTGCCAACTATCTCGTTGCTGGTTCCTAAGGGAGTTGTGCAGAGTGGGTATCTCCCTGCAGTGCTGTGTCCCTCCAGCCGGTGTGGTTTCTCTGTCACCCTTGAACCTGAAGCACATTGTTTGCTCTCATAGGCTAAATTAATCATGTCTTTCAGTTCCTACCACTCTGGTGCCTTGTAGAATTGGGGAGATACAGATACCTGGGAGAAAAAGACTAGAGAAAAATGAGCATTTTTCCATAAGCCCTAAGCTTAAGGAAAGTGGAGGGATCTTACTGTGGTTTCCTCTTGCTACACCAGCAGCATGAGAAGAATGAGAGGAGAGCAGAGGGAAGCAGTAGCCAAGAGGAAGCCATGCAAAGGGAAAAACTTTTCAGACTTCTTTTTACTTTCTAAAGAGAGTTACAGTAACTGGTTTTGCGTTTCTCATGGTGATAGTGGGAACAGGTGAGCTAATCAGTCTGACTGCCAGTATTAAATTGGTTTTATGTAATTTTTTTTTTAAATGTACATAGATGAAGATGCAGTTGTTCAGACAGAACAAGAGGATATGTATGGTTTAAAGTCAGGAAAGGTGTGCGTCAGGGTTGTATCCTTTCACCATACCTATTCAGTCTGTATGCTAGCAAGTAATCCAAGAAGCTGGACTGTGTGAAGAGGAACAGGACATCAGGATTAGAGGAAGACTCGTTAACAGCCTGCGTTATGCAGATGACAGAAACTTCCTTGCTGAAAGTGAAGAGGACTGGAAGCACTTACTGATGAAGATCAAAGACCACAGCCTTCAGTATGGATTACACCTCAACATAAAGAAAACAGAAATCCTCACAACTGGACCAATAAGCAACATCATGATAAACGGAGAAAAGATTGAAGTTGGCAAGGATTTCATTTTACTTGGGTCCGCAATCAACACCCATGGAAGCAGCAGTCAGGAAATCAAAAGATGTATTGCACTGGGCAAATCTGCTGCAAGAGACCTCTTTAAAGTGTTGAAAAGCAAAGATGTCACCTTGAAGACTAAGGTGTTCCTGACCCAAGCCATGGTATTTTCAGTCGCATCATATGCATGCGAGAGTTGGTAAGTGAGTAAGGAAGACTGAAGAAGAATTGATGCCTTTGAATTGTGGTGTTGGCGAAGAATATTGAATATACCGTGGACTGCCAAAAGAATAAATCTGTTTTGGAAGAAGTACGACCAGAATACTCCTTAGAAGCAAGGATGATGAGACTACGTTTACGTACTTTGGACATGTTGTCAGGAGGGATCAGTCCCTGAGGAGGACATCATGCTTGGTAAAGTACAGGGTAGCGAAAAAGAGGAAGACCCTCAACGAGATGGATTGACACAGTGGCTGCAACAGTGGGCTCAAGCATAACAACGATTGTAGGCACGGCAGAGGACCGGGCAGTGTTCGTTCTGTGATACGTAGGGTCGCTGTGAGTCGGAACCGACTCGACAGCACCTAACAATGACAGAACAATAAAGTTTTAAAATTTATACAATCGTAAACTAGGTTACACTCCGCAGGCTTGTGCTTATAGCACTTAAACAACTCTAAAGTCAAAGAAAAATTTTACAAACAAAACAAAACCACACAACCTCTAAAACTCAAATTTAAAACATTCATTTAATTTGACAAAAGAGATTTTGTTGAAACCAAAGCACTGCTCACCACAGGGATGTGGCTTGGGTTGACTGCTGTGGTGCTCGTTTTGAGTTCAGGTGCTCACTACACCTGCACACTTTTCATTTTAAAGTACATGCTGTGAAATGTCTGACTGTATGGTCTACCTTGACAGGTTAGTCTTGACTCACAAGAATGCATCATTCTCATGTTGAATCTGCCTGTGACCAGATGTGTATAGCTAGGTGCCAGTGAGATCATAAACATAAACCAAACCCAGGTTTGGGCATTGAAATCTTGTACTCTATTACAAGGTATCATACAGTTAATCTAGAATTTGGATCCTGATTTTTTTAACCTTAGAAATTAAAATACAAAACATAAAGTCATGGAACTCTCTAGGATATGTCCTAGACCCCATTTTAAGAAATAACGGGTCTCCCACAGAAGAATGTGACCTTTTGATAAGAATCAATGAGGAGTTCAGTGCTGCGCATTTGGTAACTCAACCAATAGAGGGAGACACTCTCCAGCTTCTAAGGTTTTTCATTAGTATAACTTCTGTCCCTTGAGGTCAGAGATTTTCATCCACAAAATGGTATGTGAAACTTCTGTGAAGATAACAGCCTGCAAGGAGTTAGGGAGTCCCTTAAGGGTTAACTCTGAGACATAGTGAATTGAGGTTTTCTTAATCTTAAATAACAACAACGAAAGGTAAACTTCCAGCTTTGAACGCCGATGGAATTTTCAGAGCAACAGTATATGTAAACTGGGCGTGACAAACATTTGGAATTACATGGAAAGCTAAATCTGCACAAAAGTTAGAAAATACTTTTGAAGAAAGAACACAGATGGCTTTCAAAGCTAAGAGAGGATGTTCAGTTTCAATATGAACTGTATAATGAGATGCCTATTTTTACCCAATTAGATTAGCAATGGTGAGAAAATTCGATAAAATGCTTTTGTCAATCATATTTAGAGAAACAGGAAATACACTGTTAGAGTGAATTTGGAGCTGCAGATACTCTCACGCATTGTTGATAGACACTGAACTGATATAGCCTCTCCAGAGGGCATTGTGACAGCTCTGTCAACATTTAAAGTGGAATACTTTTTAGGTTGGAAATTCTGCTTCTTGGAATTTATCTTATACCCAGAGGAATTGTTTGTAAAGAGAAAAGACTGAAAACCAAGCAACCATTTTTTTTAAAAGCTACTGTTTTTTGTACTGCTATAGGACAGTATCTAAGATATCATTAACTAAAAAAGCAAGTACAGAATTTTGATACTTGTGTTTAAAAGAAAAATGTGGTAATGGATGTATACAACACTAATAAATGCAGAGAATCTTTTCTGGAAAAATACAAAAGGAATTGGTGGCAGTGGTTCCCTCTGAGGAGAACTGAGGATTCTGGGAGTCAGGAATGGGAGGAAGACTTTCTTTTCATTATATAAATTGACTGTACATCCTTCTCTTCTTTTTAAATTTATATTTAAAAAAAAAAAGTAAACATTAGAAAAACTGTGTTCTTACGTCTCCAGTAGAATTCCAGCAGAGATAGGGGCAACATGGTAATACAAAAAGATTGTAGACTTTGAAGTCGGACAGGTCTAGGTTCTAAGCTTGCTTAGGTCTGGCATTTACTAATTACATAACTTCACTGTCTGGCCTGTTTTCTCATCTGTAAAAGAGGATGCTACCTATCTCACAGGTTAGCAAGTAGAAGAACTTACCAATAAATATTAATTTCCTTTTTCTACATGAGGAACTATTAGAACTTTGAAGTACTGTATATTCAAAACAGATGTTGATTTGCTCTGCCCTCAATCTAAATGAATATTGAGAGGTGACCATTGACAAGTTTGACAGACATGGATAGAAAAATATTTTTGTTATGTATTAGGAAGTAATTTATATTCAGAACACTCATGAAATAAATACAACCAACCACAATTCTGTTTTGCTTTTTTTTTTTTTTTTTAAGAGAGAGGAAGGAAAGAAAAAAAGGAAGAAATGGGGAAAGAGGGATGTAAACTACAGAGAGTAAGGCTTGAGAGGAGCCAGGGACTTGTCTCTGATTTCTATATCAGATGTGGAGAAAGGTAGATCCTTGTCCTATTCCTGCCGTGACTTATTCCAAGACACATTAGCGCAGCAGCTGTTTCAGCTCTTGCTGTGCATTCTTTCCTTATGTGGGTAGGCAAGTGGTTCTTTCCATTTGCTATGTCTTTATGAATGTGCATGTCTGAAAACTAACCTCACAGGCATATAATGTGTATTCGGGTATATTTGGGGGGTGTTTCCTGTTTGGTATGTGTAATCACATTCCCATCTTTTTGTCATACCAAATGGCAGTCAGGCCTGCAATAAATCCCAAGGTCTCCAAGTGCTAAATCTTCTCATTTTGATTTGGATCTTGTGGAAGCATGTAACTAAAAAGAAAATGAGGACTAATCTAAACATAAGTTTGAGCTAGGAATGTTTGAAGAACTTTGCCAGGAAAATGGATAATGGATTTAAGATGATTCCTTGGGGAGGTAGCATTATGGTTCCCAGGGAGTTTCCGGGTGATTTGCTTCAAACAGGATTATTCAGTGTAGCTTACAAAATTTTTCTAGGGGAGAAGAACACTTGTTTGCATGTTTCTGTTTAAATTGCTAATACCAGGATCAAGTATAATGTTAGAATTTGTAGATTAGATAATTAAACCAGTGCTTAGTGTTCTGGTTTCTTTTCATAAAACATGTTAGGCAGAATTTAGGTAGTAATTCATGATCCCTAAAACATAAAGGAATACACCCAAGAGTTTACTAAGGAAAAGTGATTTCTCACCAACACTTTTAGTTCCATGTGACATCTCTATAAGATGGTTAAAGGGTCAGATGATGTATTTTACTGGTAAACGTGAGTTGTTCCACAGGCGTTGACTTTTCTGTGAAGTCCAGCAACAGCCATTTCCTAGAAAGTGGGTTCTTTCCTCAGAGATTATATGGAGGAGTATGTTAAGGATTGAACCAAAAGAATTCCGCATTCTAGCTGCTACTCAAGCAATAGCCAGTGCGTATTTCTGGAACCCAAAAGATTTTGGATCATTTGTCCCTGTGAATTTGCTGTTACAATAGGTTTAGGCCCATTCTATAAATAATGGCTGCTCTAAAGGTTATTTGGAAACCCTGCTGGCCTAGTGGTTAAAAGCTCTGGCTGCTAACCAAAAGATCAGAAGTTCAAATCCACCAGGCACTCCTTGGAAACTCTATGGGGCAGTTCTGCTCTGTCCTGTAGGGTCACTATGAGTCAGAATCAATTCAAGGACAATGGTTTTTGGTTTGGTAAAGGTTATTTAAGGATTAGCATGGAGTTCTCTTATTTTGCAACATTTATTCACTGCTTATTCTACTAATCTTTTTGTTATCCACCCACCTCTTTTCTCTGCAGGTAGATCATACAATAATAATGTACTTGATTGGACCAGATGGTCAGTTTCTAGATTATTTTGGCCAGAACAAGAAGAATGCAGAAATAGCTGGTTCAATTGCTGCACACATGAGGGAACAGAGGAAGAAGAAGAGTTAGCCAGAGCTGTGTTGTCAGGTATGATATCCTCTTGCTAAAGACGAGGGAAGCTTTGTCTCCCATGGGAGCTGGTGTATATGCAGCTTATGGAATGGCCTTTATACAGTGAGAACATCTGTATTTTGGACAGGACCTGTCACTGTTGGGCTCATCCGAGATAGCTTCTTGGAACTGTAAAGCTCACTGTGAGACGTGAAGCCATGAAGAGCGGAAGGACACAGCAGGAAACAACACGGTTGGTGTGTTTACGTGTAAACAGTGCCCTCTTCAGCTTTGCTGCCTTTCCAGTGTCCTGGACGCTTTCTCTACAGGATGTAGGATTTAATTTCCAGGAAAATAATGTAATTTCTACAGTACTCTTGCTTTCTTCTTTGAGTTCTTGGTAGCCAATCTGGAAAAAAACAGTCAAATTAGACTCTCTACCATTCAAAGTTCGTTTTTGTACTTGAAAGCGTAAGTGTCCTCTTCCTTGTTAATGAATGTCAGTATCAGGTTTACATTTCATTCCACTGCCAGCAAGTGCTGTTTTGACTAACGAAAAGGAAGTTCCTTTTGGTGAAAACCGTTGGGTCGGTGTTCAGGGTTTTTATATGATTTGTAGCTAAATGATGTGCCAGGCTTTCAATGACATAATAAATGGATATACGAGAATATCGATCATGAATGTGATGCAGAGTACTTTTCCACAGGTGTTGGACTTCACCGTGTGTACAATAAACATGTATTTGATTTTGCAAATCAGACAAGCATGACCTCCTTTCTCATGGCTGAAGAGTGGGTGCGTGGATGGCAGTACATAGCCCTCAGGCAGGGACTCACAGGCTTGAGAGGATGGGGTAGGCAGGTGCTTGTCAAGATGCAGGTTCATCAGCTCAAAGCTGGATCCACTGCATCCGGGGCAGGACATGGAGACCCACACTCATAACAGATTTCCCAGGTGACTCGGGTGCTGGTCTGGAGACCATGCTTTGAAAGACCGTGTTTTGTGGGGAAATAAGGTTTTGATCTGGAGGAGTGAAGACTTGACCCACCTTTTGATGTGTCAGTGAACAGAGTGCTGGGCACACACTTAGCTGTTCAGGGAAGTGTTTGTGGGTGTTGAAATGAACTTTGGCTTTTCTCAATTTAACTTCCCTGGGTACCTGGGCTGGACTTTCACCATCTTCTACCTGTAGCTGCTGCCTGAAGCAGAGACCTCTGAAAGTTTTTCAGTAAATCCTAAGGTGCAAAAGACATAATACCTGGTCATCCACCAGATTTTCTCTCTGCACACCAGTTTTGTTTTACATGCACGTGATACAGGCTATCTTCTGGTTTTTAAATTCACTTCTCAATACTTACGTTAAACCTGGGTGAAGAAAATGGTTAAGCGCTCGACTACTAACTGAAACGTTGGTCATTCAAACCCACCCGGGGCACCTCAGAAGAAAGGCCTGGTGATCTGCTTTCGAAGGGCCATAGCCTTGAAAACCCTGTGGAGCAATTCTAGTCTGAAACACATGGGGTCATCATGGCTTGAAATTGGCTAAATGGCAACTGGTTTAATTAAAGTAAAAACGTGAAAAAAATCACAGCCTCTAGCCATTTTCCTTTCTTTGCGTAGGTTCCTGAATAAGCGAGTGCAGGATTTAGTTTATATAAGCTACAAATCAGAAGTAGTTGGTTTGGAGTGACTTTTCTGAGGAAGGTGAAGAACTTAGTAAAAGAATAGTCTCATGTAACGAGAGATTAGTATCTGAAATGCCAGGCATTAAGAAAGATGGTCTGTTTTAAGCCACAAAACATTTGTGTGGATCGCTTTGGAGCAAGCTTGCACTTAAATAAAATTTAGTCTTCATTCTCAGCTGTTGCAGGTTAGAGCTTGTGTAATGGTCCAGAAAGGGAACAGAAGGTTTTGAAGAAACCTTTTATTTGCTCTTCATTCCAGTGTCAAGTTTAAAGGGTTGGAGTCAGGGTGTCAAAAGCAGGGAAAGGGGCCTCAGAAATGACCTAGTCCAAATCCCCCTGTGAATGAGGGGATAATACAGGAGCAGTAAGATTGTGTCCTTATTTCTGACCCTAGGTTAAAACGCTGATCCTAGCTGCTAGTCAAGCCCCTGCTTGTCCCACTGCTACAGCTTGCTTATGGTGACCATATGTATCCAACACCAAAAATGGGGTGGGGGGGGTGACGTGCTGGAGCAACTTGTCAGATAGGGAATTTTGGGAAATCAAAATTCCTTTCGGTGAAGTATCACTTAGAGATCATTGCCTGGATGTGTTACTGTGTTTTTGCCAGGCTCTTTAATAGAATTAATATTTTAAGAGATGCTGTTGGCTTATTTGAAAATTAGAAGAATCCTGCCAATGTAATAGGCATGCAAGTGCTTAATGCATCAGGCTGTTGATGAGGCAGCTGCTACCGTAAGTGCAAGAGCTGAGATTTACTGGGTACCAGGCTGATGAGCATCAAACACCCATTTAAATTGGGAGGGTAATGTGAGCCCAGTAAAATTATTTAAAATTATAGATGCCTCAGCATAAGGTATTTTAAAATATCTTTTATTGCTTTCAAATATAAGGTTAAAATTTTCAAATCGCCCGTAATTCCCAAACAAATGTTTTGTTTGCATATAACACAGTTTAAAACTGTGTGTGTGTGAGAACTACCTTTAAAAGAGCAGTCACTCTGGCAAGCATTTGCTGTCCATTTAGCTGATACTTTTTATTCATGGTTATGAGTTACCTTATCTGTAACAATGTGGGTGGTTATTGCTGTGTATTAATGAGGTGCAATTAATAACCTGTTTAGCCATGTATTCCTTACTATAGCTTTAGAACATTGGAGGTAATTTATTTTCTATTCATTTTTAAAGTCTGTTGGTTCTTCCACAGTAAGTATATCACATCTTCAATATAGAAAGTTTGAACTATACAGAGAAGTTAAGGGACAAAATTTTTTTTTATTGTAGTTTAAGTGAAAGTTTACAATTCAAGTTAGTCTCTCATACAAAAATTTATATATACATTGTTATGTGACCCTAATTGCTCTTCCTATACTGTGACAGCACACTCCTCAACTAGCTTCTAATCCTCTCTGCCTTCTCATCTCACCTCTGGACAGAAGCTGCCCATTTAGTCTCATGTATCGACTTGAGCTAAGAAGCATACTCTTGATGAGTATCATTTTATGTCCCACATTTCAGTACAGTCTTTGCCTGAAGAGTTGGCCTTGGGAATTGTTTTAGGTCTGTGTTGACAGATTCCGGGGGCCATGCTTTCTGGGATTCCTCCAGTCTCAAACCATTAAGTCTGGTCTTTTTAACTAGAATTTTCTGTATGCTACTTTTCTCCTGCTCCATCAGGGACTCTGTGTTGTGTTCCCTATCAGGGTGGTCATTGGTGGTAGCTAGGCACCATCCAGTTCTTCTGGTCTCAGGCTGATGAAGTCTCTGGTCTCTGTGGCCCTTTCTGTCTCTTGGGCTAATACTTTCCTTGTGTCTTTGGTATTCTTCATTCTCCTTTATTCCAGGTGGCTGGGACCAATTGATGCATCTTAGATGGCTGCCTGCTAGCTTTTAAGACCCCAGACGCCGCTTACCAAAGTAGGATGCAGAACATTTTATTAATAAACTTTATTATGCCAGTTGACCTAGATGTCCCCTGAAAGCATGGGCCCCAGACCTCCGCCCCTGCTACTCTGTCGCTCAAAGTGCTTGTTGTATTTAGGAAACTTCTTAGCTTTGGTTTAGTCCGGTTGTGCTGACTTCCCCTGTAGTGTGTGCTGTCCTTCCTTTCACCTAAGATAATTCTTGTCTACTATCTAGTTAGTGAATAACCATCACCCTCCCTCCCCACCCTGGTAACCATCAAATGTTTTCTTCTGTGTTTTAACCTTTTCTTGAGTTCTTACGATAGTGGTCTTATACAGTATTTGTCTTTCTCTGACTAAACTCACTCAGCATAATGCCCTCCAGATTACTCCATGTTAATAAGATGTTTCACGGATTCATTGTTGTTCTTTATCGTTGTGTAGTATTCCATTGTGTGAATGTACCATAATTTGTTTATCCATTCGTCCATTGATTGTTTCCATCTTTTTGCTATCATGAACAGTGCTGCAGTGAACATGGGTGTGCACATATCTATTCGTGTGACAGCTCTTATTTCTCTAGGATATATTCCACGGAGCAGGACAGCTGGATCGTATGGTACTTCTATTTCTAGCTTTTTAAGGAAGCGCCAAATGGGTTTCCAAAGTGGTTGTACCATTTTACGTTCCCACTAACGGTAAGTGTTCCAGTCTCTCCACAACCTCTCCAGCATTTATTATTTTGTGTTTTTTGGATTAATGCTAGCCTTGTTGGGGTGAGATGGTATCTCATTGTAGTTTTGATTTGCATTTCTCTGATGGCTAATGATCGTGAGCATTTCTTCATGTGTCTGTTAGTCGCTTGAATATCTTCTTTGGCGAAGTGCCTGTTCTAAAGGACGAAATTTTAACGTCATTGTTGTACTACCAAGAATCGTCAACATTTTTAAATTTATCTTTTACTTAACCAGAAATTCATAGTATTCCTTTAAAATTTTAGATACGACAGATAAAGCTCAAGTCTCTCTTGACCATTGTCATGGATTGAATTGTGTCCCCCCAAAATATGTGTCGACTAGGCCATGATTCCCAGTATTGTGACTGTTCACCATTTTGTCATCTGATTTTTCTGTGTGTTCTAAATCCTACCTCTATGATGTTAATGAGGCAGGATTAGAGGCAGTTATGTTAATGAGGCAGGACTCAGTCTACAAGATTAGGTTGTGTCTTAAGCCAATCTCTTTTAAGATATAAAAGAGAGAAGCTAGCAGAGAGACGGGGACCTCATACCACCAAGAAAGCAGCGCCGGGAGCAGAGTGCATCCTTTGGACCTGAGGTTCCTGCGTGGAGAAGCTCCTAGTCCAGGGGAAGATTGATGACAAGGACCTTCCTCCAGAGCCTACAGAGAGAGAAAGCCTTCTTCTGGAGCTGACACCCTGAATTCAGACTTGTAGCCTCCTAAACTGTGAGAGAATAAATTTCTCTTTGTTAAAGCCATCCACTTGTGGTATTTCTGTTACAGCAGTACTAGATAACTAAGACAACCACCTCCCACCTAATCTTAGACCCCTCCTTAAAGATAACCACTATTTAGCATTTGGTGTGTAGCTCTCTAGAGCATTTAAGATCCATTTAGACTGTTTCCAGACCTAGAAAGTTTTGAATTCTAAGATTTAGTGAAAAGTGTTAACTACCAGGGCTAGCATAGATACTGCTTGGTTTTTCTGATAATTGAATTTGACGAAACATTGAAGGCTGCCCAGAATAGCTCCTTCTTCTCCCTTGCCAAGGTTACTGGGTTAACTAGACAAAATTAGTTTGCAGGCTACAGACAGATGGGCTTCAGTTGTTCCCTCACCACCAGTACACACACACACACACACACACACACACACATTATTGAATAATGGCGTCATTTCAGGGATGATATTGGATAAACTTCAACCATTATCTGAGAATGGTGATGCAGAGCTGCGAACCACATAGTAATCACTCAAGTTGGCAGGGACCTCTCTGTGGGTGACTGCTGCTTTCCTTAACAGGCCACTTACTGGCTTCTCCCCTGCAGGTGTAGGTAGGTGGCAGTGTGTATGCAGAGCCTGCGCTCTTAACATCGTGCTGCTTGGAATTTATTGCACTCAAACCCACCTCGCTTGAATCCTCAGAACCTTGGCTGAGTTAACCTCTCTGTGCCTCAGTGTTCCCATCCATAACCTAGGAGTACTAATAGTCCCATCTACACAGGGCTGATGGGAGGGTTAAACGAAGTCAGGTGGAAGAACACCAGCACATGCTTCATAGGTGATGGCTGCATTATTTTTGGTCCTGATACAGATAGGGATTTGGAGCTTGCTTGACAGAGTTTGTGTCAGTAAGTGGGGTTTAGTTTCTGATTGTTGGTTACAGTGTTTTCTAACCCTCCCTCCTATCACCATTCCACTTCAACCTGCCCCAGAGTATGCTAACTTCTGATATTCTCCCCCATTCTCTGTATCCCTCCCCCATATTCACTTACATCTTCAGCCTAGAGCATTTGGAACTGCTTTTTTAAATGGCAGTAGAATTTAGAGAAGAATTTGTTGAGAAAAGGCTCAAACCGGAAATGTGGGGTTTTTGGTCTTAACAGAAGAACACAGGGGCATGATTATATAGTAAAAGCAGGCAACTTGGCAGTTCCTCTTTAGAAGCCTGAATAGGCACAGGGGCCACTTGAAGTTTGTTGGTTTCCAAGCAGCTCTATTAACCAAAAAACCAAAACTCGTTGCCATCGAGTTGGTTCCAACTCATAATGATCCTACAGGACAGAGTAGAACTGCCACGTAGGGTTTCCATGGGGAGCCCAGTGGATTCAAACTGCCAACTTTTTGGTTAGCAGCCATAACTCTAAACCACTACACCACCAGAGATTCCAAAGTCTATTAAGGAGGAGGGTAATCTTCAAAGTTCTTAAATATAATGCTTTGGACAGTAAATTGTTGAGAGGGCCTCCAGCTTCAGCAAGGGCTTGGGACAGGCATAGCTACTCTGTCAGATTGGGTTCTTTTCTGTCAAGGATTCTGGGTTTAACAATGAAGTGTCACTCCCACTTTGAGATGTAAGGGAACAGTGGCTGTCTCTTGCCCCAGTTTTTCTGGGGACCAGTTTCTGCCGCTCTGGGCAGGGTTGATTTAATTCTGTATGCATCTCTGATTATACTTGTTGACTCACAAGGGGGCAAACAAAAAGTGCCGTGAGCAAGAGTTTTTTCTTCTCTGGGCCCTGGACAACCAGCCTGGAGATTAGCTTTGCTCAGCAGCCTGCTTGTTTGATCAGTAAACAAATACTTAGCAGGCACCTACTATGTAGTAGGCCCTGTTCCGTGTGGTGGAGATACAGAAGTGAACAAAAAAAGTCCCTGCACTCATGGAGCTTAGTTTTAGTAAGAGAGACAGACCATAAACAAAGAAACATATTGTGCCACCTGGGCCTTAATATGGTGTCAGATACTGATAAATTCTATTGTTAAAAATAATCAGAACTCCCTGAAACTTGAACACAAGGTTTATTCTGAGCAGTTATTCTATATGCGTATATCTGTTGCTGTCAAGTCGATTCTGACTCATAGTGACCCTATATGACAGAGTAGAACTGCCCCATAGGGTTTCCAAGGCTATATAATCCTTATAGAAGCAGACTGCCACATCTTTCTGCTGCAGAGCCACTGATGGGTTCGAACCGCTGACGTTTCGGTTAGCAGCCAAATGCTAAACCATGGTGCCACCAGGGGTCCTCATATGCATATAAAACCAAACCTGTTGCCATTGAGTCAATTTCTACTCATAGAGACCCTATAAGACAGAATACAACTGCCCCATAGAGTTTCCAAGGCTGTAATTTTATGGAAGCAGGTTGCCACATCTTTCTCCTGCAGAATGGCTGGTGGATTCGAACCACCAGCCTTTTGGTTAGCAGCCGAGTGCTTTAGCCACTTTGCCACCAGGGATCCTCATATGCATATAGGAAGACCATTTTGATTCCAGAAAAAGCAAATGGCTCAAAGAAGCTAAGTACAGTGGGGTTTATAAAGAGAAGATGAAGGAGAAATACAGACGATCAACCATTGGCTAACCTTAACATGATTGATCGAACCCTTCCCTCCCCTTTTTACTGAGATCAGTGGATATCATTTCACAAGAGAGTCTCTGTCCCTCCACCCAGTCATATCTTTTGAGATTCAAATTTAGTAAGCCTGGCTTCCAACAGGACAGAAAAGATTTGCAGTTTTGGGTGAAAGAAGTGTGTGAGCTGCAAAACAGGCTTTTGACTTCAGTAAAATGGCTGGCCCTGGTCTGAGTCCAGACTCCATCTTAACTCTTGCTTACTTACCTAGCAACTATTAACCTTTGGCATAGATGTAAGCCTATAGTTAAGGAAATGTGTTTCTCTATGGTTGAGCTGAGAAGGGTTGTAGACAGAATTTTCCCAGAGGGTTTTGATGC